CAATTGGAATGTCACGGAATTAGTCACGCAGCCACGTCGGCTTATTGCGAGTCTGAACGGGTCGGTATCGACATGCTACCGCGAAATAATCAAGCCGCTGTTTAATATAACTGAATTAGACATCATAACTCGCTATTTTTGTAAAAATCTTTATTAGGTTCGCTTTACTCAAGATAAAACATATAATGACAAATATTACTATAGCAAATATGTAGTCTTAATTAAATCTTATACTACACAGGTCAGCTATTTTAATTTGGCTCCCTAACTCATAGTAAATTGCCTAATACAATAAATACCAGATATAACGCAATTGGAAATACAATCTTAAATTTGCCAACATTTCCAAACCAGCCGATGCGGAAATTAAAAACATCAGTCATAAATTTAACCAACCACCAAACGTAAGCAGCAAAAGATCACGGATTTTCTTAAATGTCAAAATTACAATACAAAACTCCATCCATATCAACTGATATTGTAGGTATGTTCCAAACGATACCCGCACGGATATTGACAACATATATGTACATGTTATCTATTATGGTGTTCACAATCGCAATCCTTTTGGCCATAGGACCTCATTTTGAAAAGTCTTATCTGTCCAGCCGTCGATCGGAGCTTAGACGATCTCACTCAATTAAAACAACAAGAATACATTATCAAATTAAGTAGATGTAAATAGAACTTGTTTGTTTTAATTCGACATAAAGCTTGAGTGCCTACTTTTCGTCGGTATGAAGACACAGAACAGGTTGCTGCGATGCGTGTACGTGCGACCCGATACAGGTTGCGGAAACTCAACGATTTCATATTATAATATCTGTTTTAATACTAACTATTCTCAATGTCGAATCTCATAATATGACATGTGAGAGGTTGCGCCCAAGAAATACTTGGATGAAATGCATGAAACAAGGAGAGTGTCAGTGCAGAGATGATGTATGGAATGGAAGAAGATAACATGCTGCACCAACGTAGCGGAATAAGGGTGTGGCGGTAGGCATCATTCATCACAAGATATTTGACAAATGGCTGAATCTCGCTTACGACATTTTCAAGATAAGCTTTGATAAAGTTCCAAACAATAACATTAGGACCGTCGGTCTACAGTGCAATAACACCCGCTCGGTAGAAGATCTTCCCTTTGTCTTAAACCTACCTTCCGCCTGTACTAAAAAGATTGCATGAGCCACGTTGCCTGCCCAATGAAAGAATAAAAACAAAAACAAAAATGAAGGGAGATGTCATTTGACGTGCGCGCGCTCAACGCAGAATGACAAATCTACACCAACATACTTGCGAGGATAGGCAAGAACATCTATATATTAATACGTGAAGCAAAAACTTTGTATCCCTTTTTACGAAAATTGCGCGGACGGAGGAGTATGAAATTTTCCACACTTATAGAGAATATAGAGAAGAAGTGCACAAGGATAATATTTTTTTTTAATAATGCATAGAAGATACATTAAATCAATAAAGAAAACATTGCACACACTACATACTATGTACATATTTGACGCACACACGCATACATACTATTTATTGTCAAACTTTTGTTCTTGACGTCTGTTGTCAAATTGAGAATAGATTAAATATTGTTTGTCTTTGTTAATATTTTTATAGTGCAGTGTAGTCTTGGCGAAAGTTATTAGAGAAGTATAAAATACAATCATAATAGTGTACAAACTTACAATTCCAATTAATTATAGCCGAATTTCGACTACTGCGGGGCCAATAGTATGTATAAGTTATTGAGTAGTAGTAGTAGTAGTAGTAGTAGCAGTAGTATTTTATCTTGAGTTTCGCTAGTCGTAGACATATCATAATTAAAATTACTTTTACGGTTTAATTATTGGGTGGTTTTTAACCTACGTACGGACAATTAGGTACGTAAGCTTAAAAAAATGGTTGTAGGGTTTTTGACGTATTCTTTTTCCTCTATTATCTCATTTCTGTTTTATTTGTTAAGATTTGACGGCCTCACTAGACACCTGATGATGATTTAGTTTCCCATACATAATACAAAAAGGGACACTTAGGTATACTTAATTGGGTACTGCTAATCCTGAAAGAAGTAATATTCCCGAGGGATATAGCTTTTTTTTTCAAATTAACCCGAGAGAAACCTCTTGAAAATCCAAGTATCTTAAAGAAACCAATGATTATTATAAAATCTCCACACATTTTACAGAGACTAAAGTCGAACATCGGTTAGTACAGCGGAGGGTAGAGGTAAGGGGCACACTTTGTGGATGAAAAATTGCCCATCGAAAAGGGACCAATTAGGATGGCGCTATCATAGCAAGTATCAGATATAGCGCCAAAAGTTTGGTTAAAATTGTCAGTTCAGCACGGCTCCCTCCACTGAGCTTTTCGTCGGATCTTCCTAGTGGGTCGCATTTCCGATCCGGTGGTAGATTCTGCAAAGCACTGCTCTTGCTAGGGTCAGTGTTAGCATCACTCCAGTTTGAGCCCCGTGTGCTCACCTATTAGTTAAGGTTACGCTGAAATAGCTTCTCAGCTTCGGTAGGAACAAAAAAATACGGCTCCCTTCGTTTACCACTGCCACATTAATATCCTCTACTACTACTCTCGCGTTGTTTTAGTGGGTTTTTTTTTATTGCTTAGTTGGGTGGATGACCTCACAGCCCACCTGGTGTTAAGTGGTTACTGGAGCCCATAGACATCCACAACGTAAATGCGCCACCCACCTTGAGATACAAGTCCTAATGTCTCAAGTATAGTTACAACGACTGCCCCACCCTTCAAACCGAAACGCATTACTGCTTCACGGCAGAAATAGGCAGGGTGGTGGTACCCACCCGCGCGGACTCACAAGAGGTCCTACCACCAGTAATTACGCAAATTATAATTTTGCGGGTTTCATCTTTATTACACGATGTTACTCCTTCACCGTGGAAGTCAATCGTGAACATTTGTTGAGTACGTATTTTATTAGAAAAATTGGTACCCGCCTGCGGGATTCGAACACCGGTGCATCGCTTCAACACGAATGCACCGGACGTCTTATCCGTTAGGCCACGACGACTACAAATGTGGGTGTTTGAGTTGAAATTTTCTGCTTACAGCTGCAAACTTTTTCAACATGTTTCCCATATATTGTTCTCCTTGTTCTCTATTGTACCCTCCATAGTACAGAGAGCGCACTATCTTTAATCAATGACTGACTGTTTATAATAAGGTACACTTGATGTCGCTACCGCAATGTTATCTCGTTTTTAAATGTACAATACTCGTATAAACGGGGTCAACATGTAAATATTACGCTTGTGTTACATATTTTACATTTGACCTTGAGATTCGCTACGCGTTTAAAGGATTTTTTAGTCGTCCGTGTCACGAAAGAATGTTGTATAGTCAATAATAATTAATGTAAATAAAGTGATGCGTTTTATCTTGTGCAAAATATTAACTAGAAATAGTTTTGAGGTACCAATAGGCTAACGTCCAGTATCAACTATGTAGGTACCCCAGATGTTGGCGAGATGTCGTTACTTTATTAACATTGCTGCCCACTGAGTTTCTCGCCGGCTCTTCTCAGTGGGTCGCGTTTCCGATCCGGTGGTAGATACTGTGAAGCACGGCTCTTGTTAGTGCCAGTGTTAGCAACCGGAGTGTTAGAGCCCCATGAGCTCACCTACACGTCAAGGAGAAGCTGAAATAGCCTCTGAAGGCTATCAGCTTAGGTAGGAAAAAAATAACATTACTAGTGAGACTGACTTAAACAGATTTTAAAATACCTAACAGAATTGATATGTCTTTGGGATTTAATCGCGGACTAGGTGACCCAAGATGGGAAGACGTCTTCAGGTTGTTGAAGCTGATCATTTGCTTCTACCTTAAATAGAAATGTAAGGAAACAAGACCTGATTCTCTTTTTCGATCCTTCTCGACAATTTAACTGAATACCTAATCGGTGGTAGAACCATGATGTCTTTGCAGTGCCCGTGAAGGCCTGCTCTAATAAAAAACTATTGATTTTAAACCAGCCTGTAAGTTTCTCGGCCTACCCTTGTCAAACCGTACATTTTTTTCATCGACTAGACAAACTAGTGTTTGTAGATTAAAGAAACCTTAATTAGTATCTACTTGTTTTTCAAGTTTCTCAATTAAATTGGTAATTTATGAGTTTAATATCGGCCATTTACACTTAAAAGCCATAAATACGAACCATAAATCGTTGAAATGTGTAAGGGTCTGTGCACACCACGTTTTTTAAACTTTTTAAAGCTTTTAGCCTACAGAGCAGCTTGTTGTTGTTTGTATCGATACAAACGCGATGCTGACGCGCGTCTGTATCGATTCAAACGCGTATTTGAATTTATACAAGTGTGCATAGGTCTACAGGCTGCGTCTGACTTGCGTGCGTATCGCGTCTGTATCGCTACAAACGCGCGTCGACGGCGCTTTTAAAAAACGTAGTGTGCACAGGCCCTAAGACTGTTAAATTTTTCATGATTGTTGTTTGTAAGGCGTAAGATGCAAACTTGTTTTTTTACTACGAAGCCGCAGCTGTTAATAAGGTTTTTGTCTAAAAAAGTTATTGAGTAACGTCATAATCTGACACAAGCTGTCAGTACTGAATCTATACATTAATACGTGAAACAAAAACTTTGTAACCCTTTTTATGAAAACTGCGCGGACACAAGAGTATGAAATTTCCCACACTTATAAAAAATATAGAGGAGTGCAGAATGTTAATTTTTTTTTTTAATTATGCATAAAAATCCAATAAATCAATTAAAAAAAACATTACACACACTACCATGTATTTGACATGTATTTGTTTTGTCTAAAGTGTAGTCTTGACGAAATTTGTGAAGAAAGATGTATATTATCTTCGACAATAGAACCATAACAGTGTACAAACTTATAATTTAAATTAATTATAGTCCAATTTCGACCACCGGGAGACCACTAGTAATTATTATTATTCTAAGAAATCGATTTCATTAGAAATTATCTGTCAATAGATAATGGAGGAATTCCGCGACATCCCGGCTAGTTTCGGCGAGGAACTGCCGCCGGAGGGTCTGCGCGGACTCCTGGTCGAGGGCGTCCCGGCTGACGGATGCACGGCCCTGGATAAACCGCCCGTTGTCGACAGCTTTACCGGGAAATGGATCGTACTCGTAGCCAGGTGAGTTCCAATGCTATAACCCAGCGTCACTTAAGGCTTCGTCAAACAGAACGCGTACTTAGCGCTGCGTTTTAACGTCGCGCTCTTTTCATGTCACAGAAATTGACTAGATGAGCCTAACGCCACTTGACGCAACGTAACATCCGCCAAATCACAGCGCCGTCTGAAAACCTAAAAGTATTAAGATATCGAGTGATTCAGATGTGGCATTGGATAAGCATGAATATTTTCTAACTAATTCTATCAATTTGTCGGGCATTACCCAGTATTTTAAAACACATTCACTCGGATGCTAAAATAAAATTTGTAAAAAATTACAACTTCTGACGTCAAAGCGTCCTAACGCCGCGACAGAACGTTGCGTACTTATAGCGCTGGCGCTCTGTTTGACAGTTTATTACCATAGTAGTACAACATATCTCGGCGTCATAGCGCGCCATCAGTTTAGCGTTCTGACGCGCGCTAAGTACGCGTTCTGTTTGACGAAGCCTTTAGACTTAAGACGTATCTATTAAAGGATTTCTTGACTGAAAAATTATGTTCATACTATTGATTAAGCACAGTAAGTTTGCAGTCTACCTTTTACTTCTGAGACATGTAGTTATCCGATCGATGTAAACCTTGAAACCAGAATACATAGATCGATCAGTAATTAATATTTATATTCTGTTTTCATTCTCTAACAGTAGGATTATTAAGGAAAGGCTTACAAGGATACTCCAAGCTTCCTTTATTTGTTTAAAAAATATATATTGCACTAGAAGCCGATCGTATTAAAGTATTTGCTCTAAACGAGGCCTGTGTTCGAAAAATTGAGGGTAGAACTAAGGAAAACCATCTGAGTGTATAAAAAAGTGTCCGCTGAAAGAGAGCCAATAGAGGTGGCGCCACAGTAGCAAGTGGAAAACTTTGAAAAAAAGCGCCATAAACTATTCGATTGTGATATTAAATTAAGAAGGAAAGAAACGCTTCCTACGTAAATGTAATAAAAAAACACGTGTGGCACTCGGGGACTGCCGCGGTAAAGCTATTGCATAGCATTTTTTATCAACATATGCAATTATAATTAGACCATAATAATTTAATATTAAAACAATAATAAAATAAGATATAACACGCTATATTTATAAATATGAACAAAAGCAAAACATTAACTGTCCCTTTCACACTCATAAGCTAGACCGTGCGAGAGAGAGATGGGCAAACTTTTCATGATGCGCATGCAGTGCAACGCGCGCTTATTCACAAACACTACATAAGCGCAACGTGTGAATGTGTCGAACGCGAGCTACATGGTAGGCGGGTGTTAGGTTTTATTTTCGTTACAGAATTTATTGATTCGGTCGCCGCGCTCAAAGCCCGCGATAAAAGCTATGCAATAGCTTAACAAATTCTTGAGATTTAAATACTGAATTTTTTTAACAACACAAGTCACGAAAAATATTTAATTGTTCAACCCACCACACTTCGCTCTGTTTAAAACTGTTATATTCATATCATTTCCACTTCCTACACTAGCGCTATTTCAGTGAGTCTTCCAACAACAATAACTTGGTGGAGACTTTTTCAACTCGTCCCCTATACAAGCTAGTCCTCCTTACATCTACCCTCCATAGTTCGAGATAACACTCTAATGTGCTAACGTCTTTTACAAACGACTTAAAGACCAGTCGTTATAATAATTACCCGATTATCTGTTTAAAATAAATACAATTTTATTGATTTCAATAGGCAAAGGTCGCGTCTTTATCGGCGTATTTGTTCGACAGATACAATTGCAGCTTCGAAATGAAGATACGCAACGCGCAGGCGGCCGGCTTCGATTGCGCGATCGTGCACAACGTGAACTCGAGCGATTTGGGTACGTTGCTGGCAGTTCGTTTAGCTCTCGTCCATTATTTTTTTCCCTACCTATGCTGATCGCTTTGAGAGGCTATTTCAGCTTCTTCTTGACGTGTAGGTGAGCTCACGGGGCTCAAACCGGAGCGTTGCTAACACTGGCCCTAGCAAGAGCAGTGTTTCGCAGAATCTACCACCGCAACGGAAACGCGACCCACTGAGAAGATCCGGCGAGAAACTCAGTGGGATGTGTCTATGGGTTAATTTACTCATCGAGCCCTTCGCTCGACAAGGACGGTGACCGGTGCTTGTGGTACCTAAAAGCACCGTTAATGAATCGGGAGAACTTCTCTTATCTATTGGTTGCGAGAAGCGAGAAAATGAATGAATTGACCGGTGCTTGTGGTACCTAAAAGCACCGTTAATGAATCGGGAGAACTTCTCTTATCTATTGGCTGCGAGAAGCGAGAAAATGAATGAATTATAAATCTTGAGGTATCAGTGGTATGGTAGAATTTCGATCGTTGGACGAAGACTAGTTATTATTAGCCCGAGAGTGGGTTTCACCTTGGCTTTGTTGGTTTTCTTTCATGCTTTTTCCCTACCTATTCGCTGGTAGGTGAGGTCACGGGCAGAACCTCAGTGGGCTGTGTCTATGGGTTAATTTACTCATCGAGCCTTTCGTTCGACGAGGACGGTGACCGGTGCTAGGTACCTAAAAGCACCGTTAATGGATCATCCGTAATGACGTGTTTAGAGCGACGTCGACTGTTTACCATTCGGTCCACAGGATCGGGTATGTAACCTCGTCGATGTGTTGCATGAGATCGGATCGTCTTACGATTATATTCCGAATGGCCGTCTTACTGGAGACACGTGGTGACTATTAGGTGTTCGCATTCATAGCGTTTTAATAAAGATCGTGTATGTAAAACAGTATTTCATCACCGACAGTATCATTCATATGCATTTGATGTACATAACCTCTCTTTGAATCGTAATCAACAATACTTTATAATTTATTAAATATTATTATTATTATTTTTATTGACCTTGTAGGCAGACGAGCACACGGCCCACCTGATGGTGAGTGGTTACCGTCGCCCATGTACTTCAGCAATGCCAGGGGCAGAGCCAAGCCGCAGCCTACCGCTTAATACTCTCCACAAGCCTCGTTTTAAGAAGGGCATGTCATAGCGCTCGGGAAACACCGTGGAGGGGAGCTCATTCCATAGCCGGATGGTACGTGGCATAAAGGACCTCTGGAAACGCACTGTGGATGACCGCAGTGGCTCCAGGTAGTATGGATGAACTCAACAAGTTCCACGACCCGATGAAGTGAGACCAGCTGTAGCAGCGGCAAGGCAACCGGCAACCCATCGACGATTCGGTTGCAATGCGATTCCCTATTGTTAGGTCACATGGTGCCTTTGTCGGTAGTGGAACCGTTATAAGGTCTATTGAATCAAATGATTGTTCTTAATGATCTCTAATCTCAAATCAAAGTGAAAAAAACATAACGCTTTTGAATTTAAAAAAAAGGAAAGTATTTTCTCCGATAGAATAAGAGTTAACAGACCTTTTGTCTCGTGTGAATTATCTAGTTTGAAAAATAAATCTCCAGAACATTATTAGTACGTTGTCAACAAATGTGATTCCGTAAACTATACAGAGTTATCTCTGTTGTGACGCGCAGGGTTGCCTGTATAGGGTAATTGTTCGAACAAAATGCTTCTATTATTATTTATTCGCTTTATATACGACGAGGCTCCTTGGTGTTATGATCCATTTCGATAAAGCGGCACGAAACGAGAGCCCTCTCATCGTGGCTGCCAGTAACTACATCGCCGATCCTGCGGACCAAATGTTAAACATTGGTCGTCGCCCAAAACATGTCATCTCGGATCCTCCCGATCCACTAACTGTGCTTTTAGGTACCCCAATCACCGGTCATCGTGCTCGTCGAACTCGTCGCTTGCGACGAAGGGCTTCACGAATAAATTAACCCACCGACACAGCCCACTGAATTTCTCGCCGGATCTTCTCAGTGGGTCGCGTTTCCGATCTGGTGGTAGATTCTGCGAAGCACGGCTCTAGCTAAGGTTCGTGTTAGCAACATTGTCAGGTTTGAGGCCCGTGACAAAAAAAATTAAGGCACAGTTTTCTATGCAAAATTCCCCTTTTGCGGGATGTCTCAGTTCTTCGTGTTAATTTTCGCGCCCTGGTCTTAAGTATCCGGCTTAAACACTAGACAACACTATCAGACAAGTTACTGGCAAAATATTACATATTACCAAATCTATGTTTGTTCGCCAATCGATTGATTGCCTTAACTTTTATATAGAGTTAGCAGAACTAAATATGACTGTAACATATATTATTATATTATAGTATTTCCAGCGGTGAAAAGCTATTTGGTTTTACCCCATTCAAATAGCTGAAGAAGTTTTTTGTCACGATATTTTTTCCAAAGTTTAATCTTTAAATGGCTCTCCTGTAATGTTTCAAAAATATCACTTAACCGAAATAGCCAATCACCCCTCGATATTATAAACGGTCTTAATGTCTCCTTTTATTTGGTTGTAGTAAATAAAAGATAATTTTAATTTTTTTCTGACTTGTAGCAACCCTAAAATATATATTATGTATCGATACAGCACATTATAAAACAATCAGTGTTAAACTATTCTCAGCACGATGAAGCGTGTTGGACCACAGATTTAATATTTAACTGGAAGTGCATAAATGAATACCGACATTAATTTATTTACATTTAAGATTTATTTTTTGTTTTCTTAAATAGAAAGTTGAGTGTTAGCAACATCGTTGTGAATTGTGTTTTCGTTACAGTACTGATCTAAAAATGATGATTCACTGTTTTTGTGTGGGTGTCTTCGGTTAACATTTTTTTACAAAATAAACACTTGTATAGTGCTGTTAATGATTAGTGCATTTATCTTCGGTATCGGCATATATAATACTAGCTTTTACCCGCGACTTCGTCCGCATAAGTTTTTTTGTTTTGCAGTTCGAGCTCTGCTAGAACTACGGCTTAGATTGGATTTACGTTTGCGTGGCATATCGAAAACAATAAAACAATAATTAAAGATTTTTAAAATCGGTAGTTTTAAAAACTACAACGTAAGACAATTTTTTATAAAAACTTCGATAAAGCAAACCTTTTTACTTATAACCTAAATATCTAAATCAATCAATAACGTATTGAACCTAAACAACTATGCACCTGACAAACCTTTTATACCTAAAACCTAAATTAACTAAATAAATTCAAAAATATTGAATTTATGTACCACACCACAATACACAATTTTCTTCACTACTGGTACTACCTACTTATCTATCAAAACTAACATAAAAGTACTATAATATAATGACAAAATCTATTACTAAACTAATTTACTACGAACTATAAACATCCTGATGTGAGCTAAAAAACACTTAACCTACACATGAATAAAATTGAGAATTAACAAATGAAAGCGACTGCAAAAATAAAGAATAATACGTATCTGAGTAAACCTAGAGATATGAATGATTGGTTAAGAAAATACCTACATCTAACAGCTACCTTAACTACCTAATAATAAAAATGTAACTAAGTACTTAATAAAAATACGAAAATGACGTCAACTTGGACTCAAAAATAATAACCTACCAAATATTTATTTAGATATCTAAAACAAAGGACTAAATTAAAGCTTACAGACCCTACGCGTAGACCGTAGTACCTATTTCAACTCGGAATTTAAAAAGAACGTTTTTAGCTAACCAAAAATACGCAACGAATAGAGTTTCGTAACGCAATATTTCAATATTCGCATACGTGCGACGACGACGTCTGCCCTCGTGCGTCTGCCCGCTTGGGTAGGCACAGTTGGTAAATTCCCTAAATTATGGCGCCTACCGACCCTCTAAGTTAGAAAAGTGATCAAATACTAACTTTAAGTCTTAGTAAAAAAAACATCAAAATCATTTCAGTAGCTATGGCGTCATTCGCTTCTTGACACGATCACGCTAGATTTCCGCGGGAATGAGGTATTTTCCCGCCGTAAGAAGTAGCCTGTGTCCGTGCCTAGGATCCTATCTTTATATTAACCAAGTCTTATAAAAATCCGTTCAGACGTTAAGGCGTGAATGAGGTAAACTTTTAAACCAAACTATTAAAAATCACTAACTTAATTAGTTTTCTGCCTACTGCCTACGCCTTAAGTACGATAGCATGAATATTAATAGCCCATATCCTTTTCTAGGTTACTATCTATCACCTAACTAAATTTCATCAAAATCCGTTCAGCCGTTTAGGCATGATAGAGCAAAACTCCCACCAAAAACCATAAAAAAATCACTAACTCAATTCAGTTTTCTGCCTACTTCCTACCCCCTAAGTACTATGACGTGATCATTTTGATCTTATATCCGTTTTTAGGTAACCATCTATTACCTTACTAAATTTCATCAAGATCTGTTCAGCCTTTTATACGTGAAAGAGCAAAAGTCCCAACAAAAACGACTAAAAATCACTAACTCAATTTAGTTATCTGCCTACTGCCTACCCCCTAAGAACGATGGCGTGATTATTTATAGCCTATGACCATTTCTAGGTTATCATCTATCACCATACCAAATTTCATCAAAATCCGTTCAGCCGTTTAGGCGTGAAAGAGGAACAGACAGACAGACAGACAGACAGAGTTACTTTCGCATTTATAATATTAGTATGGATGTCGCCTACAGTTTTAACTTAAAAGAGTTATTATGACAGTTGATTGAATGAAAAGGACCAATTTTATTTATCCGTTAAAATTGTTTATTTTTTCCGTGCGTACATATAATTATGGTTTCGATTTTTAGTCTCGAATATTTCGTAATTGCTTCTAATGTATTCTGGAAAAGTACGCGACAGTTTTTATGATAAAATATATCGTAAAATATTAAATTTTAGATGAAATAGACGACGACATAGAGGTCGAAAATCTTATAAAATAAATAAAGAAACCAAACACCCATTTTTTTCTGTTATGTTTGATACATGCATATGGATAATATATAGTATCGAATATTAATGTATGCCTGACATCAATATGGATACAGCTGAGGTACGTTTATAAAAGGTGCTCTTCAATAATTTTATTATATTCTTATTTGTATGAGCTTAGGGATTATTTTGTGTTAAATCTCGATATTGTCGACAGCAAATGTGACCCCAGTGTGTGGAAGTGATTTCCTGAAATTTTTTATTTTCAAATATACGTGTGCGGTGTTAATCATAAGACGATCCGATCTCATGTAACACATTGACGAGGTTACATACCCGATCCTGTGGACCGAATCGTAAACAGTCGACGTCGCTCTAAACACGTCATTACGGATGATCCATTAACGGTGCTTTTAGGTACCTAGCACCGGTCACCGTCCTCGTCGAACGAAGGGCTCGATGAGTAAATTAACCCATAGACACAGCCCACTGAAGTTCTGCCCGTGACCTCACCTACCAGCGAATAGGTAGGGAAAAAGAATGAAAGAAAACCAACAAAGCCAAGGTGAAACCCACTCTCGGGCTAATAATAACTAGTCTTCGTCCAACGATCGAAATTCTACCATACCACTAATACCTCAAGACTTATAATTCATTCATTTTCTCGCTTCTCGCAGCGAATAGATAAGAGAAGTTCTAATGGGTACACACCACCACCTTGCGTATTTTTAAACGCAGAGAAGTCACGCGTTGCCATGTGGGTAAGGTGGGGGAGAGAGAGAGTGAGAAAGGGAGAGAGAATGCATTTTATTGCACACCAAAACACAATTTACGATCAAAAACAATCAAAAAGCAGATAGATTTGTACAATAGACGATCTTATCGCTAAAAGAGATCTCTTCCAGACAACCGTTTAATTTAGAGAAAATCTGGAAAATATAAAAATATAGGTGGGTCTGTTGCGGTGTATCATTGACAATACATTATTGGGCAGGAGGCTGATAATATAAGTAATTACAATGTCCACATCTCAACTCAAAATAAACATGAATTTATCGTTTTGTAACAAAAAGGCGACTTCACCTGGCCTTTCTAAAAAAAAATTTTTCTTTTCTATCCTGCAACTTAGCAATCTGTTTCTTGAAAAACAATCATCTAATTTGTTGTCAGATTTTCATTAGGAAATCATCTGCTGAGTTGTATCCCAAGTAGTACCATTCTTATCTTATATATCACCTTTCTGAAATGAAAATGAGTCGTCTATTATCAAAGGTGGCAATCTGTGCATTTGAACAAAAAAATGTTATTGATATGTCAATACAGATTGATTTGAATATAATCGTCTCCTTCAAAGAATACGGTTCAAAACCTGCAATAAATAAAGGTTAATACTTAACCTGTTATTTATCTAAGATGTCGTTCAGAAGAGTTTCGTGACTGCCAATGGAATACAAAGTCAATAATTCGTTTTTCTGATTTACCAATAATTGTCCAAAAGTCACATTGCCGGCTTTGATAATAGTCGACTCAAATATACTGTGCGTTAACAGAGAAAATGTCGGCTAAGAATCCGGAGGGCATCATGATACCTTCAGTGTTCGTCAGTGACGTAGCCGGCGACATACTGGCAGCGGAATACCAATATAATAACGGGTAAGCGTTTGTTCTGATGAATTTTAATCAAAAATGATTCTTTAATCGAAGACCACAAAGTATAAAGTGCTTTAAAGCTTTTATTGGTTGGTAGGGCGTTTTGTGTGCCCGCAAGGGTAGGTACCACCGCCCTGCCTATTCCTGCCGCTAAGTAATGAGTTTTGTGTGTACCACCCATTTTTTTCATAATTTTTTCATCATCATCATTTTCGTGATTTTAATCATTTTTTCAGTTCTGTTTAGCGCCTCTACTATGGTCCTGGCAATGACCATGACCGACATTGATCGCGTCTGCCTTTCAAGGCAATAAAAAAAGTTGTAAATAACAGTGCCTTAAATCTATGATTGCTTAATCTTTTTTTTTTTTTTTATTGCTTAGATGGGTGTAGGAGCTTACAGCCCACTTGGTGTTAAGTGATTACTGGAGCCCATGGACATCTACAACGTAAATGCGCCACCCACCTTGAGATATAAGTTCTAAGATCTCAGTATAGTTATAACGGCTGCCCCACCCTTCAAACCGAAACGCATTACTGCTTCACGGCAGAAATAGGCAGGGTGGTGGTACCTACCCGCGCGGACTCACAAGGGGTCCTACCACCAGTAATTAATCCTGATAATATTACAAATGTGAAAGTTTGTAATTCTCATTACTCACTCGCCACCGCTACGTGTACAGGTACATCCTTATAAGCTATTAAAAGAAGGGTTTGGACAATTAACGACCTAATGATCTGGTCTGGGTGACTGTGTAGGATACCTTGATGTCTCCAGCGGCATTGCTCTCAGCAATGAGGCACATGTTACACACCGGCTCCAAGTTTAGCGACACTATCTTCAGACTTTCTAGATCAGCGATTCTCAAAGTTTATCAATGAAGTTATATCCTCCCCACAACGAAATTATATAACCCTGAAAATGTAACTAATTATTCAGATAAACAAATAAACCGAAGGGGCGTTTAAATTACCTACACATAAACGTGTTGAATTCATTTTGCTTTTCCCCGACTGCACTATCTTTAATAACATTCGAGCCGTATTTAAATATATAAAAGTATGTGTCCATACATGTATTTGTTTTCTGATGATTATTAATGCAGTCCGATTTTTTTGTTTTTTAAATAAAAAAACCAACTAAATTATTATATGAAATCATATAATAATTTAGTTGGTTTTACATTTTTCATTAGCATATTGATAATATATCTCTGAAGAACTTGAGGCTATAAAGCGTGCTAAAGAATTAATATATTAAAGAATAAAAACACAAGACTAGCTAGATTTCATGCATACAATATTTATTGACATAAAGAATGTATGGGTTAATTCAATTATAAAAAAAAAAAACATTAATATCCCCATTGCGCACCATGATAAATGTTTTATTCTTCTTCATGCTCACTTACCAGAAGTAATTTCTTCTTTAGTACGCTTAGGTAGAAAGAGCTTTTTAACTATAAGCAGAGGCTCAGCTTTGTCCGCGATATTGCCTATGTCCGTTGGCGACGATGTTGCAACAAAATAGTTAACCGACTATCAAGTTAAATGTAACGAAGCTATATGAAAATTTTCAGTTTCTTTATAATGGTGAACGGCGACCTACCGTTCAACATCAACACGCACCTGCTGTTGCCGTTCGCAATAGTGGTCGTGCTCTGTCTACTCGTCATATTTATATTTATGGTGAGATACGTTTTTTTTTTGCTACCCTTAAGGCAAGGGTTATAAGATCACATATCATTGGTATTCATATCACGTCTTGAATTCTGGTCTTATAAGCCAAATTTTTATTTAATTTTTTGTTGAAAACGAAACCCTAATTTAGGGCTGTCAAACGCGCTGTCTGTCGTCAGATCGTTTAAAAGAATCCAGATTTTAAAAATAAAACGACGTAAATTCAACTGTCTCTAGCTGCAACAACTAAATCCGCTTAATTCTCTCTCGATTTTAATTTTAAAATAAAATCGTTTGACTTGCAATGGATTTACCGTCAATTTCATGTAGATTCTATGTAGAACACGTGATTATGTTCCCGGTAACCGTACTCGTCGAACTCGGCAAAGAGTTCGACGTGCAACCTAACCCATGCATCAGCTCGCTGAGTTTCTCGCCGGATCTTCTCAGCGTATCGCGATTCCGATCCGGTAGTAGATTCATTCGCGAAGCAGCTGCCCTTGAGTTGTTAGGTCTCCTTCGGAGGCGCTTGGGCAGCTGTTAGCAAATTCCACCCCTCCTGGCTGAGCCTTTGCTCGCCCATCTGTCCTGGTGAAACTGGAAAGGCTTCCGGGCCACCAGTAATACTTCAATCATAAAAAAAAAACGTGATTATGTTTAGGATTACTCGTGGCTAGAAGCTCATTAACACTGTCAATTTAAAAATAAAATATAAAATACTGTTTTACAGATAGTGAAATGTATAAAAGACAGACGCAGAGCCAGAAGGCACCGCTTACCGCATCGTGCGCTTTCGAAGATACCGACGTGCAAGTTCAGCAAGGGCGACCCGTACGACACGTGCGCCATCTGCCTGGACGACTACCAGGAGGGGGATCGCCTGCGCGTGCTGCCTTGCGCCCACGGTACCAGATCACCACGCGTGCTCTAGCGCGGGACTAGAGGGATTAGCCCTAAACACGTCATTACGGATCCTCCCGATCCATTAACGGTGCTTTTAGGTACCTCAAGCACCGGTCACCGACCTCGTCGAACCCGTTGCTTGCGAGGAAGGGCTCGACGAGTAGATTAACCAACAGACACAGCCTACTGAGTTTCTCGCCGGATCTTCTCAGTGGGTTGCATTTCCGATCCGGTGGTAGATTCTGCGAAGTACTGCTCTTGCTAGGACCAGTGCTAGCAACCCTCCGGTTTGAGCCCTGTGAGCTCACCTACACGTCAAGGAAAAGCTAAAATAGCCTCTCAAGGCTATCAGCATAAGTGGAAAAAAAAGAGATTTAACTTTTTTGAACTGAAAATGACTTTTATTTTGTGGTTGGAAATATTAAATGGTTTAATTTAGTCATCGAAGTTTTGTAACTCATTAAAGATGTTAAAAAGTTAATTACCTAAAGTTAGGTACCTACCTAAAAACTAAATAGTGCCAGCCCTATCGAAAAACTTTATTGTCCCCATACGTAACCTAATTCATCCCAAACCCAAGGTGAATCAGGTCAAGCTAGTTTTTCAAGTTTTTGTGTATATTTTGTAATGAACTATTTATAATAACGTATCGTATATAATAATTTAAGCCCCCGGAACCATTTTAATCTCAATTTTATTGGTATTACCCTAAGAAAAACCATTGAAAATTTATGTTAGATTTGGAAAGGGTCCCGATTTGCCCCATTTTACGTTATATAAGTATCCGTTCCGTGTACACTAGTAGGATGTATGCACGTGTTGCAGCAACTTTTTGGCGGGAACGCGAGGAGTGAAGTTGTGTGATTTGTTTTATTTTGTTTATTTAGTGTTTTTTCAGGTTTAAATGTGTAATAACGGTGGTTTATTAACTGTTTAATATCTGTGTGAAAGTGCACAAATGTGGGAAAATGAAACAAAGCCGCTGGACATAACTTCTCGGGACCCTCCACAAGGCCACTGAAAAAATCTCAGTAAATGAACATCATTTTACTGTGATTATTATATTTCATCCCATATCATCTCATTTAATTTCACTCCATATTATTATTTTTCATAAAAATAAGACTTGACTTAAAGGTCTTCGTTACCAGGTCATAAAAGCCATTTAAAAAAAAATCGTGTTGCAGCGTACCACAGCGCGTGCATCGACCCGTGGCTGACGCAGAACAAGCGCGTGTGTCCGGTGTGCAAGCGCCGCGTGGTGTCCGCCGGCGAGCCCCGCCCCCGCCGCTCCTCCTCCTCCTCCGACTCCGACACCGAACCGCTCCTGCCGCAGCCGCGGGACCAGGTGCGCGCGCCGACACTACCAACCACTACTGCCCCTGTCATTGCTGATCGTGGCCTAAAGGATAAGACGTCCGGTGCATCGTATCGAGCGATGCAACCGGTGTTCGAATCCCGAAGGCAAGCACCAATTATTCTAATGAAATACGTACTCAACAAATGTTCACGATTGACTTCCACGGTGAAGCGATAACATCGTGTAATAAAAATCAAACCCGCAAAATTATAATTTGCGTAATCACTGGTGGTAGGACGTCTTGTGGGTCCGCGCGGGTAGGTACCACCGCCCAGCCTATTTCTGCCGTGAAGCAATAATGCGTTTCGGTTTGAAGGGTGGTGCAGTCGTTGTAACTTTACTGAGACCTTCAGAACTTATATCTCAAGGCAGGTGACGGCCTTTACGTTGTAAGTGTCTATAGGCTCCTACCTAAGCGATAAAAGATAAATAAAAAATCTCTAACCGGTGGGCCATACGCTCATCTGCCTACAAGAGCAATTAAAAAAAACTAGTATAAACCAGAATTTATTCACGACACAAGTCCTAATATTTTTGTTTATATAACCGTTTCAGGGAGGTGGAACATTCGAAGAGCAACGCGAGAATCCTTTCGTGCGAGCGGCGAGATTCATGTCGAGGTTGCGGGCTCGAAATAACCAGAATACTGCTGATGCAGAGGTAACTGTCATTTAAATATCATATGTCAACAAAATGCTAAGGAAACGAAGCCCATACAGCCAAACAAAATGTAAGTGTGTCTCGAATGTCGTTTAGCCAAAAAAAAACAAAGTGAAACGCCTTCTCGGTCAAATGCAGGAAATTCAACAATTCGCATACCAACATACCTCGCGTTCCCGTCGAGAAAGCAAAATGATTAACAAATATATTATGATCAATGCTATTACGAGTTTTCATTGAAACGAAATACGAAATTTTATTCCACAGGTCCCACCTGAACTAGAAGATAGTCAAGAAACGTCTGATCAGGACGAATTGAAGTAAGTTCGATTTTTCTCTTTGCCACCCACTAAATACGATTCAAAATAATTTTGTATGGAATCGTTCATATAGTATATGTGTAAAGAAAAACCTTTGTTATGTAATTTTTCTATAATTCTTTTTTTTTTTTATATATTTCTCTTACGTACTGTACTTTCTGTCATTGAGAAAGAAGACGAGTTCAGTTTTATTTGGTTCAAGAATACTGTGGAAAATAAAGGCTTTAGATGTTTTTTTCTACGCAATTAAGCCTTTTATTATTGTTTAACCACTTTTAGAATATTCCATTATAAAGTGTTATCTGTGTCTGTTTCTTTACATATATAGTTGTATGGACTTTTTGGCGGGAACGCGAGGAGTGAAACTGTGTGATTTGTTTTATTTTGCCTATTGAGTGTTTCTTCAGGTTTAAATGTAATGTTGGTTGATGTAATTGATGGTTTATTAACTGTGAAAGTGCACAAATGTGGGAAAATAAAACAAAGCCGCTGGACGTAACTTCTCGGGATCCTCCAAAAAGTTCACTGAAAAAATCTCAGTAAATGACCACCATTTTACTGAGATTATATTATTCATCCTGTATCATCTCATCTCATTTCATTTAATTTCACTCCATATTATCATTTTTCATAAAAATAATAATATAAATTGAAATAACATATGACTTAAAGGTCTTAGTTACCAGGTCATAAAATCTCTTAAAAAAATTGTAGTTGTATTATATTATACAATACAGTGTAATTAAGATAATAATTAATTTGGCATCGGTAGGACACCCCCATACCCTTTATCCCCGTGGTGAAATGTCAGAGCGATAACAATAAACATAATAATAATAATAATAATATACATAATAAGTTAATGTTGTTTCTGTGCAGCGGCAGTACCGAGGCGCAGCCCCTGCTGGAGGAGCGCGCGCCCCACTCCATCAACGGCTCCTCGCGCGGGGAGATCGGTACGTACCGCGCGCCGCCGCCGCCGCCGGCTTGAGGCGTGACACTTGAGGTCGCTCATTGTATCACGTCCGAACCGGACCAGAATAACGACTATAGTATTCGATTCGGAGTCATAGGTAGCTTAAACTTGCCTTTTTTATTGTCGTTATATTACTTCCGAAGCTTCGAATGCTCCACAGTCATAATGGCCACGGACGACTAAGGACACATGGATATTAAAGAACACAAAATTCATATAGAAAACGCGGAAATAAACGATAAAATGTAGTTTAAATAATACATATACTCCGCGCGCGAGCTCCGAGGATTCGGGGGCTGAGGAAGCGGGCGGGCGTGCACCGCGCCCGACCGTCGCTTCATACCCCGCACTCTCCCAGTACTAGTGTTGACCTTAACGTGAGAGTACGCTTATCGACTCATTGTTTTTAATTTTGCGATAGCAGTGTTAATTACGTGTGATTTCTAACATTAATAGTCTTACATTTATAAGTCTTTTTGTTTGCACAAATAGCTATTTAATTTGATGAAAAAGGAATGGCGAGCACTAGCATAATAAACATGTCTTAGCTTTAGAGGAATATTACTGGCAAAAGGATGGCTTAATGGAGGATGTTGTCGAATCATTTATTATTGAAGTATGTGAGGAGAGTACATCAAATTTTTCAACTACTGATTAATCTGATTGCGAGAGTAATTAATAAGATTTCACGTTCATTTTGTTCAATAAAAATCAGTTCATTAAATGAAATTCATACGTGATCAATTGTTTTTTTTTATTTATTTCAAGTACATAATACTCTCATAAAACTATTTTATAATTTACACTCGCACGGAGGCTTAAGATGTGTTAGATATCGATAGCGCAATATCGACTAAATACAACACTAGCTCATTACGTCAACATTCCTTAAAAATCCTCGGAGCTCGCGCGCGGACAGTATCGGTAAAATGGGGCGATTAGGGATTGAAAGGCGAATCGGGAAAAAACCGGGAAAATCTTTCGACGCTCAATATAAGTTTTATATTCGTTGCAAAATCTTCCATTTTTTTGTAGTTTAATAGTAGAATGTTGAAAGTTCACAAAACAACTCTGAATATGCATGATAATAGCTGCTAACTTATAAAAAATCGCGTTTCAAATTAACTTCCTGTGGTGGTAATTATTTTAGTGCTAGAAACTTTGCTCTCTTTTATTTATTTGATAATAATAGAAGACGACTATGATTTATAAACGTTATTTAGTGTTTGAACCAGCATATATATTAAAGGTAAGTCTCAGTTGTTATTGGTTTTAATGTATTTGATTAAATAAAAATACATGTAAAAATCTGTTGTTTTTGGGGATATTGGGGACGTCTTAGGTACAAATAACAACGAAAAAGGGGTCAATTGGGATGAGAATACGTGAAATGGAAACGACCTAAGTATAAATAGGTATAGGTTTGTAGGGTTGTCTAGGTAGTTATAACAATATTTTTTAAATTTGTTGGTAAAAATCTGGTTTATCGAAGCGAAATTGGGAATAAGTCTTTAGTTGAAATAGATAAGCAATTTAATATAAGTAAGTCGATTTTGCAGAGACATGTAACAAGATCAATGAAATCTCAAGGTGGACAAAAATGTCTAAGTAATACATAATAAAATTTTTAATATTTGTTCAGAGTGGGGGTATTCATCTGATTAATCCATGGAATAACCGACACACCTAATCTCTTAACCCAGATAGAAATATCAGCCCGTAAGTACTTACCAAGAACGGAGCAATATAAACCGTTTCTAAGAAAGCCCACTATATAGGTGTAAATATATATATATTGTTGTTACTGCACTGTCGATTGCACCTATAATTGAGGTGATGTCTGCCATGTACTTTTGTCAGTTTTTCAATTTTTTTTATTGATGATCACTTTGTTGGTGCAACTAAATAAATAAATAAATTAAAACTATATATAAAAATAAAAGTAGTGTCAACCCTAGCAAATTTCACATTTCGTCCCAATTAACCGCAATTTTCGGGTAAATAGGGATTACACCTATTTTTGCATTTTTTGCTTAAACTGGAATGCTAGTTGCATAATTTTAAATTAGACAACAAAGATGCCCCCAAGACTCAATCATTTTGATCCTGATATAGCATTATATACATCAACAACTACCTTAAAATTGCTCATAAATTTGGAATTTGTCCCTAATCGCCCCATTTTACGGTACCTAATAGACAAATAGTGGTACCTTGTCGTGCAGATGAGTCCGCGCGGGAGGGTAACAGCACTCTGCCTATTTCTGCTGTGAAGCAGTAATGCGTTTCGGTTTGAAGGGTGGGGCAGCTGTTGGAACTATACTTAAGACCTTAGAACTTATCTCAAGGTGGTTGGTGCATTTACGTCGTAGATGTCTACGGCTCCAGTAACCACTTAACACCAGGTGGGCTGTGAGCTCGTCCACCCATCTAAGCAATAAAAAAATAATACAGAAATTGTTTGATAGTTGAAATGTGTTAAGTGTTGTTCGTCTGTCTGTGTGTCCGCAGGGGTGGCGGCGCTGCCGGCTCCCGCCTACCACTCGCTGCCGCGGTACATCGACTTATGAGCCAGTACCCCTGCGCCGCACGACCCCCGCCCCCCGCACCGCCCCCGCCCAGCCCCGCCCCTACCATCACCAAAACGTCACAAGGAGTTTACGTTGCTTTTAGTTCATGAACTACATGTAAAATTATCCGCCATTTTGAATACAGATTATACGCAAAGCGAAGCTGTACGCAAAACCTATTGTATTTTTTTTTTAAACTTTTTTATTATTTTGCGTAAATTGTCAGATTATTATTTAATGGTAAAATGTTACAGAAACAAATGTTGTTAATACCGTTTTTTGTATACTAAAACTTTGAACGTATAAGTTTAATGGAAAAAAATGGTTATTAAAATGCTAATGGTGAACGGATTTAAAGTATCTTTATATAACATCTGGTTGTTGCGATTGAAATCAACTAAAACCCCGGACGAGCTGAGGATGGGTACGGAACATTATCTATGTAAAAACATTTCGAATAAAAAGCCGAGAATAATGTTTTAAATTATTCACTATTGAAAGCCACGGACTTTTGTTATTTTCAATTAATTTGGTCTCATTTTTTATTAATAAAAACTCTTTTAGAAACAGACTAATATGATATCGAGAGGCGAAAAGCTATTTGGTTTAAACGACATTTTTGCAAAATTACAAGAAACCATTCAAAGTTTAAATCTTTCTTAAAAAAAAATCTTAACAAAAAAAAAACATCATCTATTTGAATGATGTAAACTCAATTGAAGTTCAATTAAAAATATCGATTTTTTTTATACTAATACTAAATAAAAATGAACTTTGATTACTAAGAGAAATGTCGCTTAGACTAAATAACCTTTCACCTCTCGATATAAACTTAGCTCAGTGGACTCACTGGGCAGCGAGGAGTGTGTTTAGTAACAATTCTAAAAGCTCAAAAAGTCAAATAACAATCCACTCCGCTTTGTATGCAAATTTACAATATCCCCTTAACATCAACACTTAAATGCACTGTGTTTAGTTAAAATAACATAATTTTTAAAAAAATATACTCGGAAGACATAAAGTCATATGTGTGGTAGATTTCACTTGGCCCTTAGTTATGGTTTCGAGATTAATATTTATTATTTTAAGATTTTATAAATCAATAAATGATGTTAAAATGCGATAACACTACTTATATTGTTTTTTTTTTGTCAGAATTACAGTTTCTTTTTTTTTTTTGTTTATGGCTAAAAGTTTTTTTTTTGTCATTCAGAACCAAATCTAAAGATTTGTCAGAGAACTGTTTCAGTAAATATATAAACCAGGGAAGCTTACGAAAACAATCTTCGAGTGATTTTAGTCACCATTGTGTTGTTGGTTATTTTTAGGATAACAACAATACAGATGTAGCCACGATAATAACATTAAATACGGCGATTAAACTTTATATAAATATATGCAAGCTTGAAGTTTAAAAAGATACCCCGCTATTTATCTCGTCTAATACAACATAATATACATACAATCATAATCCTGACACGATATTCTAAAGTCTGCAAAAGGAAATAAACGAACAAACAAATGGATAGCTTTATGCAGAAAAGTCTTAAGAAGTTAATTGTTTGAGTAATCGAACCGATGCGGCGACCAGAGTCGCTCTCTGGTCACGTGGATGCTTTTTTAAGCTCCCGATAACTGGTAGCTCGCTAGGCACGGATTGGCGTTGCTAATGGCATTGACAACGACTCCGTCTGAACCGCTAGCTCGCTGCCAGCGTTGTCAGCTAATGAAAAAACTAACTAGAAGGTCAGTTTTATATTTGTGAATAGAATAAAATTTTCGGCATCCTTGTCGGATGGACTTCATTGAAATATTTGGAACGACCTTCACCGCTCGGCAAGGTCGAACAACAATATGTATTATATAATAATAACTTATAATTTAGTACGTAAGTGTATAAATTTTATTATTAATAAGGGTTTAATTTCACGGTTTTAATTCGTTCACATATAGAAAGCGCACGTTATATTTTTGTATCATACTGCGTATTTGTAGTTAATTGTTTTAGTTCGTTTTATCATATTGACTGTACGCGTGACATATTATTATGTTGGCAGATTATTAGAAACGTCATGGCCGCCCCAACTAGAGACTTAACCCTGAGTAATTATGTCGATTTCGCTCTTCGATTTTCGTACTAAGACGTCAGAATATCTAGTAGACTCTGGGAAAGACAAGGAAGATACTGTGAATGAATCTATTTCTAAGAGACTTGAAGGCTTCCACGCGTACCTTCGTACGCGGGCAAAAGCTTGTAATAAATAATGGTACGAACCCATTAAATAACATTATTAAAAATGTTGATACTCACAAGAGTTTAAAACAATTGGTAGTAGTATAATAACTGATTATGTAAATCAGTATCATATTACTGCCTGATGGTTTTTTTTTTCAATACATTTCCAGCATACATTAACAAAGAAAAGAAGGCAAAGTTAGGCAATCCAGGCGCTTAGTAACAGAAATCGACGTAATTACTTCAGTGTGCCGCGTAGGTCACCGGTGACCTACACGGCAGTCAAAGGGTTAAGATGGCCACTGTTAGTACTGAGATTTGTAAACTAAATGTATGTTATAATTCCGAGGCCCCGCCAACCGCCGTCCCCTGTCGACTCCAATGAACCACGGCATCCAGTAAGCAAGACTGCGAGAACGCCATCTTCGAATGCAATTAATAAATAATAATTAATGTTTTGTACGAAGAGAATTAAAGTTATAATGTTTCATGTTTTTCCTTTTCAATTACTTTATATTACACAATTTAAGTGGCAACAGAACTTAATACAAGTGCGTAGTCATAACTCGTCACACTGAATTCCATGCCTTCTGACGTCACTTGTCAGTATTGTAAATTACCATTTTCCCTTAACATTACTACCAAATTTTTTTTTTTAAAACACGCCACGTTAACTGGTCCCGTGATAAGTTCGTAAAGAACTTGTGTTACAGGTACCAGATAACGGATATAAATGTAAGATTTTTATTATACACATACATATATTTTAATATACATCCATAACCCTGGAAAAGTCATTTATATTTATCATACAAATATCTTCCCTTGGCGGGATTCGAACTCGCGACCCCCTTGTGTAGTGACCATGTCACTTACCACTACACCAGATGGCCGTTGATTATATAAGGGTTTCTACAATCACATAAGTGGCGCGACGAGTAATGCTCTAAACTTATGAACAAACAGCTCATACATAGCAACAAGTAATGTAGTTTATCGTAGCCAGCCTGATCTTCCCTCTGATACAGCTGTGATCATCAAATAAATCAAATGAAACTATTGAACGAGAACTGAGTGCTTAGTGCGAGTTTTTTAACGTTCTCGATAGCGTAAAAGTTAACTCAGATTTGAATGCAGTCGGAACAGCGCCTCTAGCGGAAAACGTAGGCAAATGTTCCAACTCCATAAAAATTTGAATTAACTGTTACGCTATCGAGAGCGTTAAAAAACTCGCACTAAGCACACAGGTAGTTTTCCAATTATAGCACAAGAGCGCATTATGCGGCATAATGCTCAACGTTGAATGTTCCAACTACAGCAACGCTTCGCACAATCGACCACTCTCAAAAGTACTGCTCTCGCGTGATACTCGCAATCGATACCGACTCAGTGACAGAAAATTTAAAAGTGTTTTTTCTTTAAGTTGGCATTGATCGAAATTTTGTTTATATTATCGTTAGTAATATTATTTAATGTTGAATAAAACTGTAAGGCTTTCGTTTCGTCGTAGTTTCTTAGAAATAATTAATGTTAATTAAAACTGTGCTAACTTAGCGCACTCTGCTGATGCATTTCAAAACTAATTCACGTTCCAATTAAGCTTCAGCATAATTCGGCATTGTGCGTCACTGAGTCGCATTATGCTCTGTAATTGGAAAACTACCACAGTTAACAACACTTAAATTTAAACCAAGGAAGAGCAACACGCGGCCCGCCAAACATTTCTAAAATTTAATTTATCTTATCTACTTTCTCCCATCAAGTCGTCTATTATTTTCTTGTCTGTTTTTAATAAAGAAATAAATTTTCGTAAATTATTAATAAGGGATAATCAATGTGTAGCCCCCAAAAAAAAATTAAAAAATTCAATTGGCCCATTGATTAAAAAGGCTGCTCACCCCTGATTTAAACGATTATTTTCCTGTTGAATCTACTATGACTGTGTACCCAGGGACGCCTTAAACTAGGATGGGGCCCTTGGGCACAGAAGAATTTGAGGCCCTTTTGGAAAGTAAAAAAAGTGAATTATAATAACCTTTTTTTACTGAGTATGAGACCATTTATTATAGGTAATCAAATACAGTATGATATAATATGTCATTAATTATATTAGAATGCTGCTGGTTTTTTGGTTACGATTTCGATAACGGTTTCTTTCGGGATTTCTGTTGAGCAAAATTTTCTATTATAGCCATATATTATGCCTATAATAGAAATTTTTGTTTGTTGTTTGGTGTTCAGTCTACCGTCCTTCGGACAACCCTCCTCCCTCCCTCCAACAACTAACTACATCACGTGTACATATAGAGCACTTGTGTAGTAACGTTTTAATATAATGTGACTTAAATTTGAGTTATGTCAAATTGTAAAGTGGTTGCACTGAAGTATGGAACCTATGGTTGGCTCTCGGTTCTTAGTACAATTTAGACCGTCTGCTACTATCATTTTACGATGCAGGTGTATATATCAAGGAGTGAAAGGCTATTTGGTTTAAGCGACATTTCGCTTATTACGCGACATTTATCTTTATAATAATTATATAGGTGCGTTTTATTTGGTATTAGCATCAATAATTCAATGTTTTTAATTTAACTTCATTTAAGTACTCCATTAAAATAGCTGAAGAAGTTGTTGTTGTTTTTATTATATTTTTTATTATTATTTTAAACTTTAAATTACTTTCCTGTAAAGTTGCAAAACTCATTCTGGCTGAGAGTAGCAAGGGATAGGGCCCATTAGAAGGAATTCGAGGAGGCCTATGCCAAAAGGCACACCGAACTTAGGGACCTCTTGTAACCCTATGTTTAGGAATAAAATGGCTATTATTATTATTATAAAGTTGCAAAAATGTCGCTTAAACCAAATACCTTTCGATAATGTATCAGCCAGACAGAACAATCATATCGATGGATCGGTCTGTTCAATGGAAAACTTTTAAT